AGCTTAGCAAAGCTTTAGTCGCTTCGAGATGTCATTAATGTCATCACCCCCTATCTTAAGCGCTTCCACTCTCAGACATGCCACCTTACCGGCTAAAGGGAACAGGGTGAAATCTGAACTAGGATTTTTTGGGTAACTCATAACTGCTGATGAATTAAGAGACGCAGCCAATTATCCGACATGGTTTCATTTTGTTGCCTCGGTACAAGGTGTTCTGGCGCTCCTTTTATGCGTTTTTGTCATCCTGGGATACGTTGCGGAGGCACTGCGAATACCAATTGTGGTACTCTTCCTGTTCGAAATTTTCATTGCCTCTATTGGTCTTACGGCTATCGCATATGATCGCCGAGGTTTGCAGTTATGTGTTAAAAATTCACAAACAAAAAGGAGAGGTTTAGAGAGTGAAAAAATTCGTCAATGGAACAGCAAAAAGTTATTAAAATACTGATCCCAAAGCCCCATTCTACACCTTTTCTTGCATTAAAATACGGGTGTTGACAACGGCAGCAGGTGTTGCGGGAAACCCGTGAAAAGCAACTAATCTGGAAATTCAAAGGAATGGTTCGACTGCCTCCTGGCCCATTGCCATTTGCAGAAGAGGTCTATCCATGACAGCCTGAAAGAAATGAAAACCGTTTTGCTGTAAAAAAAAGACGAAAAACTCGTAACATCTACAGATTTTCAGAGGGTTGCTTGGAACTTCAAACGGATACTGGTTCAGTGTTAGTTTATTATTAAAAAAAAATCTTGCCATGCCATTTTCTTTCTGCATTTTACGGCTGTTTTGGCAAGTGGTGCATCGCCTGGTGGTCAGCCCTCTGGCTACTCTAATGCTCCTTTCTTTCCTGAAGAGATTACTGGCTCAATTGCTCTCCAGACAGAGGTATTTTAGTAAAGCTTTAGGTACCTGGAAATTCGATGGTGTATGTTGAACATAACCAACTTCCTCTCGAAAGGCCGCCTTTTCTAGACCACGGTGAAATACCTCGTCATTTGGGAGATCCCTCAGAATAAATTAGCAATTTTTGGCAAAATATTGAAAAAAAACTGAACTGGGACGTAGCAAACGAACAGAATTAAGCAACTTTCAGCTGTTTTATCAGCTACTCTTCAATTCATTGAATGAGAAAGCATGTGCACAAATTTTCCAACCTATTAAAAAAAACAAACGGCCATTCAAAAGTTCAACCGATAAATATAGATTATCACGCGATGTACATAATTGTGAATGCTGTTACCGGGATATCGGCGATTATTTGGGTAGTGTTCCTCTTCGTGAATAAGAATCAGCATTCACTGTGTGCGAAAATCGTGCTCATTTTGCTAGCGGTTTTCTCGGTTCGTCTTTTTGCTCATATTTTTCTCAGTTTTTTTTTCTGCTCACCTTTTTATGAATATCGCGCACATGCATCAATTAGGCGATATGAGCCCGGGATCGAACAACCTGGCATAGAGCTGCGCTTGGAGTATGGGATCATGCCAGTAACATCACCGATAGCTCAGAAAATAAGGCTTTACCTGGTTTTAAGCAAACGAAGTAGAATACTGTTAAACAACGCAAAGCTATTACGGAAGGAGCAGAATAAAAAATAGGGTGTATTAAAAACGGATGAAAAAAGACGACAAGTAAAAGGGTAGGAGATGAGAATTACAAAATTCGTAAATTATAAGAATTTAATGGTAAGAAATGTTTCGGTCCATTAAGTCGTACACATTTCTTATCATTACCACAATTGGAACTCGCTAATACGGCGATTGTGGTGATTGGATTTAATGAGTATTGAGTTTAAATTAGTTGTATAATGAATGTCAACAGTAAGAAGTATTGTAGAAGATGAGTACTAATAATAACACTTCTCATTGAATTGTTTTATGTGTTGGGAAAAGTAATATGAAGTAAATATATAAGTTAAATAAAAGCTAAAAACGCATGATATGCATTTCCAAAGATTGTTTCTAGAACCTGCAAAGTATAGGATGATTCTGTTGGTCTATTTACAGTGTTTGGTAACAGTGATTCTGATATTTTGCGCCAATCGTAAAGTACCAAAGCTTCTCCAAAAATCGATCTGCCTAAAAGCATTCAGCATGTTTTTCAAAGAGAAAAGCACAGTGGTAATAACGAGCACTTCGAAAGATCCGAGTTCTTCAACATCTATTTCACGTAACTGTAACATTTTTCAGTTAAATTGGGAAATTCAAAACACAAATTTGTAAATTTCTTCCAAATTACTCCGAGTTGTAGAGTGAAATCTGATATAAT